ACAATCGACTATTATACTTTATTTTTCGCATTAAATATTGTTTTTTCGTGACTATCAGTAAATCAGTAGTATGAGATGTATTCACCCAATTTCATTTAAGGTGTTTCCCAATCTTGCAACTTCCTGATCCCGGTGATTTATTTCGTATGTGGCCAGACTCACATGCCCACGTGAACGCCTAGAAAAAAGGGTCAGAACGACACCTAAATGCATGGCCCTGTTGCCAAGGCGACTCGGCTGAGTTGTGGTTTGCTGCTAAGAGTGGTCACACTCACTGACAAGTCCGGCTAAATGTACACGTCCACGGTGGGACATTGGGCAAATATCATGTCTACCGGAATACGTTCAACGAGGTCGCCATGACAACACGACCTTGTCGCGAAGATCAGGTCAAACCGGTGCCGAGAAAAGGTCCGGTAGAAAGTCCATGCAGTGAATTTCGTGCCTCGATCGGAGGCTACCGGTTCAGACGACTCGTTTTATCGGCTGCCTGTGCACGTACACTCAGGACTGCTCGATGCCTAATCTGGTGCTGTAGCAAAATTACGTTTCCATGATTGTAATTAATTGAGCAGAGTGAACACAAATCGATTGAAATGAAATGAATATGGCGTGCAGTCAGGTCGTGTGCACTCGTGATTGCGTTTTAATCACGATGCCGTTTAGTTGCCGAGTCAACCTCTCAACGGAACAGACATCAGGCGCAGTCGCGAGCGCAGATATTGCGAGAAAACAGGAGAAAAAGTTCTCCTCTTACCATGACTGCGTGCATATGACAAAATTTTACTCGTTTCAACCGATAATTAATTAATATTATTATCCAAAGTGAGCATATTTTTAAAGGAAAAAACAAAGAAGCAAACGCACATCTCTCAGTCACTCCAACCCGAGAATGAGCAAAAGAGAAAGAGTAGACAATCTGAGCTTAAAATGGCATCGTGTAGCAACTCAATGCTGCCTCGAAGCTCCGGCAAAAGAGCCAGTGACATGTGATCCTGAAGGCATAGGCAGCAATAGGATCAGGCTGACTTGCATTTCGAGTGAAAGTGTTCGCGGAAGCGATTCGAAGGTCGCTTCCACCAGAAGACGACCAGCTGTCGATTGGCTCTGATGGAACATTCCTGCTGACGCTGTTCCCGAGGCAGTCTAATCTTTCAACAGTTCAAGTGAGGGCAAAATCGCAGTCCATCTTGCATGATTTTTTTCTTTGGCGAGGAAAGTGCAGATAAAATGTAATGACACACTCATCTTATTGTGCTAAAGCCCTAAAACTATCAGTTCCTCATACTTTTATATTAAATAATTGTCACCTCACTTCACTTTTAAAGTTTATGCTAGTCATATTCATTATTACAAAACACTCTGAGCACATTCACCTGAGCTGACAATTTAAGCTTGAATACTACTCATGAGTAGAAATTAAGAATAATGCGTTGAGTGCTGTTTCCCAAAAAACATTTTTATCATATATTTATACTGGAAGTGTCGATAAGGTAAATATGTATTTGCCGTTTTAATAAACGGCATTATTTATTGCTAGCCTACTTCCATTTCGAGTGAAAGTGTTGGGTGAAGAGATTCAAAGGTCGTTTCCACCAGATTACTCTTGATCAGCTGTCGATTGGCTCTGATGGTACATTCCTGCTCTGACGCTGTTTCCGAGGCAATCTATTTCGATTCCGGTGAAAAGGTCCGTCATGTGACGAACATCATCAGAGCCAGGTGTCATCGTGACAAGCAAATTCAAGCTGACGAGTCAAGAAAACTTACGGGCAAATCCCTAAAAAGTGGTATATATCCTCTAAATTTGGTATAAAGTGATTTGGTTAGTTACGGTCATGTGTCAACCTCGAAGCCTGTGAGTGTGTCTGTTTCTTATTCACGAAGTAATTGGGACAGCAAAGTTTGCTCACCATCACCTCCACTTTTCTACAAACATGTTATAACCACCACTCCGATTGCGCAAGGTTTTGTTGGTGAGCCTATTTTGTCTTTTTCGCCCCAACGCGAGAGAGAAAGAGTGAGCTGAAAGTACAGAAAAGTGACTATGATTAGAGGAAAGACAAGCAAAGACTGGTTGCACCGCTCAACTCCTTCTTTATCCAAACCCGACTTTGCTTCACAGACTCTTCATGCCCACTTCTCCGAATGCGCAAGAGCTGTTGACAAACTGGATACCGGCCAGAGATTGGAGACCAGTCCAACCGTTTCATGAGTCTGTCCGGTCGAGTTTGCCGTCCAGAGGCCATGAAGAAAGCAACAAAGGTGACCTCGTTTTCACAACTTGGTCGTGTTGCCAGGCCGTCTGCTCCAGTAACCATGCTAATATCCAGCTACAAGCCGTGGAGTTGATACAGCCTCAGCTGCTCCGCCGTCAGTGAGTCCTGCCGTTCTCACGACCGACAATTGGCCTCTCTACGATGCCGGCGAAACGTCTGGCAATCTACCAATTCCACACTCCCGAGGTGGGAATTATGAGAACTACTCGAGCAGAAGCCTTCAGACAAGATGCGTTCAATTGATGTCACTCTGACAACACGACCAAGTTGCGAGAACGAGGTCAAACCAGGTAAACACACAGCGAAATAGAAAAGAGACAAAAGCAGATGTCGTCATAGCTACTATTAAATTTCTGTTATATAATTCGGTCCATACGGTTTACAGCGAATAATGTGGGCCTGTATTGTGTGCCAAATAAACATTCACAGTCACATCTTGGGTCTCATCAACAGCCCAGCCAGATTCGTGCAAAATGGCCCCAGATCACAAGACCTCAACGCGAGTGAATGGATATCACTT